TAATGGAATTTGTACTAGATGATGGGCCACAGCTGTGAATGTCCAAGCAAGATTGCGAGTAGAAGCATAACAAGCAACATATCCGTAAATGCGGAGAAGGATCGGGCCGCCTATAGCCACTTGAAGTTATTCTTGACGGACCGCAATATTTAATCCGTCTAGTGTTGCTTAATTTGGCATTTCTCCTGATACACTTTCTTGAGCGGCGCTAGTACTATTTTTACGTCATACAAAAAGAAGGATAACCCTGCAGTTTTGCAACTTGCTGCCTGTTTTGAGAGGAACATTACATTTGCAAATGAAACAGCCCATAAATTGACAACGTTAAATTGATTTTTGAGTCTCTTAACGGACAACAGCGATCTCTACCGTAATTTTGAGTTCTCACTTTTAAAACATTTTGATAAAGACATTCTCGTTTTTCTCGACCTACGTCATAAGGATATTACACAAACGCCAGACTTCGACAATACAGAGGTACCAGTGAAAGTACGCCGCGAGGATGGAGTGGATGCACTAGTAATTGTTGGTCCTAGCCCTTACGCATGGCTTCGCGGCTCTTGCAGACTTCTTGCTGAGAAGCAAGATTTTTTGTTGTTTGAAATTTGAATGGTTTCGTTATAACACAGTGGTCGACTTTAGAAATTCTTTGGCACTTTATGGTGTTCGAAAAAAAAAGAGTTTTGCATCCATCACGCTGGTAACCGATTATTTTTAAGTCTATGTAGAAAAAATCTGCCATGCAAATGGTGTATTAGATTGAAATTAGGGGGATCATTGTTTGGGAGATGTTTGCAGTGGATTGTCTTCATACCCACAGTCCACCTGGCACGAATTGATGGTATGAGGCAAAACGTTGCATCGCACTGCACACCAGTTAGGGGCATTCATCCGAGATAGAAAAAAAGTTAAATTGATAACATACCTGTTCGCTTTCTCCAACACTCGTTTGATCATTAGATCGAACCGCAACATCATCCTAGAAATTAATATAAAACTTAGAGAAAACGTAGTGAGCTCGAATTAAGTGTCTGCCGGTATTTTCTACCATCGTAACGTTACTTAAAATGCTTTTCTTATAATAAGCAGGTCATAATAATTTCATCAAAGAACGGTGGAAATCAGAGCATTGTTATTACTGATGACTGCAGAGAACTTCTCTAGAAATTGTGATTCATGTAAGCTATAAAGCAATTATTCTAAAAATTTCCTAAAACCTTCAAACGTTTTCATTTTGCCCATTCATAAGCTTTCATTTTCTATAAAATTTGGATTCACAAATGTAATTGGCGTTTACCCACTAAAATAAATCAATACACATTTTCGCTTGCACACATCTCCATGCACAGTACAAGTTTGTAGTTCTCGCTTTCACTTTAAATGAATACGCTTGTACCGATTCAATGAATTTTATTTCAATTCAAGTTGTCGTCTTACTTTTATTACATAGCTAACGGCAAAATCAACTGATAATGTAATTTCACAGTAATTATCAACTGATTATGTAATTTCACAAATGGGACTAATTACCATAAACTTGACCAGTATAGAGTCATCTGCTCGCATTAATTATTATCTTGAACGGAAAAGATATAACAAACAGTCAAGATGCCACAGGCTAACCGCTGTGTTAATATCAGAATTATATTGCAGTTAATGCTTCAGACTACATACTTGTACATACTATGTATTTTCGAGTTTATCTAGGAGGAAGGATTGTCATTAATTAATGCAAAATTATGTCTCAGTAAATTTCCAAACTTCTCTTTTGAATTACACAGTGGAACTTCAGTAATATTCACTAGAATATGCAAAAATCGAAAAAAATCGATAGGCTAACGAAAGTAATCGACATCGTAACAAAATATCCTCATTGAAGACCAAAACTCCCGTGGAATTTCCCTCCGCTATCTTAGACTGTTTGATGTGAAAAGTTAGTCCATTTGAAAAATGAGGAACGTTGATTGAAAACTTAATTCCATCAATATACAGCGCATAATATTGTGCTTTGTATATGTAAATCAAATTGCATTTTTGCTCCCAAATTAATGCAATTTAGATGGGCGTTTTTAGAAAAATTGATGTGGTACTTATACTTGGGACTGAAATTCTACAGCTTTGCAATAACTGCATCAGCTTCTAATTATGATCAAACTATGGAAGCTGTCTAATCATGTGATATTCTTAAGAAAGCACGGACCATGGAACCATCTCGTCGGCATAGTACAATCTCCAAGCCTTTCCCTTGATCGCAGCATTGCCGAATAATAGATGAGGCAACAATATGAGGGTGACCAACGAGCACGCGTCCATTTACCTAAAAAGTACAATTTTTTCAGAGTTTAAAACAATCTTGTTGCAATCAGCCATAAATACCTCAAGAAGTTCGTCCCCAGCTCTTACAGTAAGTGGACATTGTACCTTTACAGAAAGGACAAACGTGCTGTTTTTGTCACGATCACGATTTCCCGCAAGGGAAATGCCTAAGCCCGCTTCTGGTACTCTTTCGCAAGAAACCAACATCACATTTCCATGTAAATGTCCATATTTCCGTTGGATTTTTCCTAAAGTTCCGAGATCAGAAGTGGAGGGTTCCAAGATTTATGTCATTTTTTTACCGTTTGTGTAACCGAATTTTGTCTCTTGCTCGGTATCTTTAGAATCCTTCGGTAGATCTGCTGCGCTAGAGGGCGATGCACTCGCTGGATCTGATGAGGTGGATGGAGCGTACTAGAAAGGAATAGCAGACTAGGTACGTGACTAAACAACTAAACACATTAGATTTACCATACACCCAATTAAAGCTACTGACAGACTAATCTCTCACAATTTGGATTACTGCAACAGATTTTTTTAAGTTGAGCAACTAGTTCGTTTGGCGTAACTAAAACCTAATCGTGTCCTTTTTTCATCGACCCTGTAGATGCTTTCTCTTGCAAAAGCTTTAAATAGGAAGACATGAAGGGATTCTGAACAATTTTCAGGGGATTTCCCAAAATAATGTCCCTTCGCTGGCAGAAGTATAACTCGGGAAAGAACAGGAGTTTTGAACTGCATTATGATGTTGGGAGATTATGGTTTGGGCAAATGATCTTGATATAAGTGTTAGAATTAGGTCACTGACTACTATACAAGGCAAAACTACTGTTTCTCGTATGCCGGTTTTTTGTGAACTGGAAACTGACAATGAGGACAGCTGCTAATCTTCTGTCCTTAATTTTTTAATGTGCTCAAAATTTTTCTTAAATGTTATGCTAATAACGGGTCTTAAAGATTGGAGAATTATTGCAAAAAGGATATGAAGGATTTCTCATGTGAACTTAAAATTCAAACCAGGCCTCGGCACGAGGTCTCCGATAGGACCTTACGAGAACGAATCCCCGCTTGAAAGTCCAAAAATTT